TATATATATATATATATATATATATATATATATATATATATATATATATATATATATATACATATACACACACTGGTATATTATACCAAACCAAATATTGATGCACAGAACCTTAAGTCAGCTCTGGGAGTGGTCATTTTAGGTCTTAAAAAAGTTAAGTTAATCTGAAGGTACAGTACAGTTCAAAGTCAGAAAATTAATAGTTTTTGTTACATTAACTGTTTCTAATTAGCTGGATATATACAGCTTCAGTACAGTTGGGTCCGGCTTGAATGATGTTCACTTCTTAGAATTTTAAAGCTGCCTCTGTTGTCTTTATTCAGACTCCCTCCCTACTTTGCACTGTCATGAGGGAATATCTTCTGAACCCCACGATTCCATGCAATTCCTCTGAGACTAGAAGACAAACGATCCTTTCTGTGTCCCTCCACATCCATAAAGCCATTTTGTCTACGTAATGCAGAGCCAAGTACTGCTTCAGAGTTTAAATGGGAAATGGGTACTGCTTTATTATGCTGCAGTGCCTTGAAATGAATGTGGATAATAGATATATTCACAGTGGTATTAATATCCTCTGAGTTCATCTTTTTTTTCCTTCTTTGCTCATTCTCCATTTTCTCTCTCACAATCTCCAAAGTACTTTGCCCTTGGCTATGCCTTATACTAAATGGATTTATGAGAACATTCGTGTCATATTTCCTTCTCTCCCGGATTGTCAAGACAGATCGTCAGTGAGCCACTGATTGAGTGGAATCACCACACAGACTTAGTACCCATTGTCAGGCCCCACATGCTCATCTCGAGGGGAATTTAACAAGGAAAATTGGTCAATGACACCTCTCTCAAGGCTTTGCAACTACTATTAAGAAGAGGTCAGGGGTATTAAAATGGTAGAGTACATTTCATACAGTGTCGGTGTCTAATAGTTCAGTTACCGTCAAAATTAATGCATTTTTAGCAGGCTTTATGAGAGCATGCTGAATATATTGCGCACAAACAAGATTCTACTGTATAAATGCAACATACAAGGGCAACGGGTTTAAACAGAATAGTCCTTTGTGTTCAATTATCACCTTTTTCCTTTTTTTGTGTTTTTTATTTTTTATGAGTTTATCAATTTAGCTAAAATTCCTTGATATGTTTTAGACAATTCTATAGAAAATATTCTGTCACGTTGATTTTGATGTATAACAAAGTGAAGGTATAATACGCTTGTGATTCTGCCTACAATTTTATTTTTTCTTTGGTCTACATTTTGTGTTTTTTTGTTCTATTTAATTGTTTTTTTTATTTTTTATTTTATTTATTTATTTTTCACGAAATTGGTTTGGTTCAGAATGTGTACGTGAATTTAGGGAGAGGACTGGATAAGCCATTGCTTGTTCTTGCTCCCTTTTCAAACATTTTTGTTTAGTTTCCGGAATATTTTGGTGGAAATTTTTCATTTTTATTTGTTTAAGGTTTTGTTGAAAATTTTAACTGTTCGAAATTAAATTATCAACAAACAAACAAACAAACAAAAAACAACAACAATAATAATTAAGATCCCATCTAATAAAATTGTACAATAAAGTGTGAACAGTCAAAGATGTACTTTCACCACTACAAGCAACCGATAAATAAGTTAGACCAAAGAGGACCATACCTTACATTAAATGGCATATGCCAACAATGAGCCAATACATGTAAGAAGTGTGGAAAAACAAGGTAAAAAATAAATAAAATACAAGTAAACATACAAATTTAGAAAGGAAAATACTGAAAAAAAATAACACAAACAAAAAAAACAATTCATATATATATATATATATATATATATACATATATGTGTGTGTGTGTGTGTGTGTGTGTGCATAATGAAAGCACATTATTAGATAATTTATACACTGACACAATATCAAAGCAGAGAATGATGTGATATATTACCTGCACAACTCTGCTTTAATTACTTAATGTAGTTCAACTCTATAATCGTGACACATTATGGAGCATGTAGGACATACTTAAAAACAAACAAACATGGACACAGTGAAGCAAATATATGAATACAAAAGGTTCATAACATGCAAACAAAAAAAACACAAAAAAATGCGTAAAGCAACAAAAAAAAGTGTTTGTAAATAAGTCACCATAGTGGAACACTAGAGTTAGAAAAAATAATTTGTTAGGCACAAAGAGCACCTTTTTGAGCTCTCACATCCTTAAAGGAATACATTGTTTTCTATGTGAGCTAAATTTGACTCATCAAGCAAGATCAGATTCTTTCTTTCTTTTTTTTTTTTTTTTTTTGAAGCTCAGTCCTTGAGTTTTTAAACATGGATGGAACGTGATCAGAGAAGCTGATTTTGTTGATCTTTAATGGGGACTACTTCTGACCAGTCCTCTTTGGACAGAAAGTGGGCTTTCCAGGGTAACTGTTTGATATCATTGAAAAAGCTCCAAGTGATCTTTACAATCCATGGGGAAAGACAGCTTGCTGCTTTTTGTCTGCTGTGCTCTGGTTTCATGGTCGACCAGTGTGTTTTCAGTCTATTTGGTTATGCTTCTGCTGAGAAGTTTGGACAGCCCATCTGGAAATACTTGTCTGCAGCAAGTTTTCTGCCAGACTGAGACCTTGTTAATGCAGGATGGCTGCTTTGTGACTTGTTATGCAAAATCTTGTTGCACTGTAAGATTTTTTAGAGGAAAATGTCACTTTATTTAGCATCCTCGTCATCGTGATACATTTTAGTCGCCCCTCAGTTTACTCCATTGGCTTAACCGACATACAGTGTGGTATCTGAATGCACATGTTTGTTTTGTCACAGAGAGCAAACTAAAAACAACAAAAAAAGGGAAATGTGTAAAATTCCAAATTAAACAATTTCCAATTTGCAGACTGATAAGATTGATATCAATCAAAGCCATGTTTAACCATCCAAATCAATTAACACATTTTCAAACTACTTTTCAAAAGTGTCAAGTGAAGAAGTAACATCTTTAAACTGGTCAGTTTTGGGGGGAAAAAAAACAAAACAAGAGAGGTGAGCCTATCTGTTCTCCTTTTAGTGGGGATCCCAGAGGATGGGGTGGCAGAGAAGGCTACAAATCTGCCAAAGCAAACATCTCACTAGGAGTATTTAGAATGCAAAGCAAAAAATAAAGACAAAACATTAACAACAGGTTGAATTTTAAGTATTTTATAATCACAACCATTAAGTTTCTTTAATTATTACTTTATAAATCTGAATCATCTTTTTTTTTGGTATATTGTATATATACAGTATAAGGTAGTTGCTGCATTTTGTATGTAATTAAAAACTGTCTCAATTGATTATAGTGTAAATCTATATTCTTACAAAAAGTCTATTTTATAAGCCTATATATAATAGTATGACCTTTTGAAATGAGCATCACATGTGTTGTGAAAACAGTTGGTGATATAATAATACTTGATTTATTATTACTAATCAGGAAGCAAATAACAGTGACACATACAATAAAAGTAAAGAAAGTCGCATAAAAATGCCAAACTAAACATGAATAGTAATGCAACATCTGTAGTGTTTCCATAAACATAAACTGTCTTAGTAAAGTATCTAAATTAAAATCAAGTTTATGTAAGTAGACAAATCAACTCTTTGCACTTTTCACACGGAGCTTCGCTTCTAAAAAAATAGTTAGATTTTCTTTGTACGAGTCTTATATTTCTCGGTCTTAACTGGCTTCACTTTAACTAAATATTTTGCACAACATGATAAAGTTTATATAACTCCAAATGTGAGTTCACACACAATTTAATATGCAAAAAAGCTTGGAGACTATTCAGTTCACTTGCACAATGGCTGGAAGCCTCAGTCAAGAGCATAATTAGTTGAATTAGATTAAATGACCAATTAGAAGACTAACAAAGTAAATAAGCCTGTGGGAAATCCGCCAAATGCTTGAGAATAGAATTAAAGTGGAATTAGATTATTGACAGGCTGAATGACAGCACAGGCCCACAAAACAATTGTATTCCTGTCACAAAAGGAGGATGTTTGTTGCTGTCAAGGGATTAAATGGGTATGTGCAGGGTTATAATGAGCTAAAAATAAAGTTTATTAAGTAAATGTATATTCTCATTTAGGGCTGTGCTTTAGTTTGGACAAATTTGAGATGTGTGACTTTCCCCCAAAATGTTTTAACAATAATATATATTTAGGTGATAAAGAAAAATAAATAAATAAGAGGAAGAGAGAGCCATACCTTTGCTGGCACTTTCCACATGCTCTAGCTCATCTGGAAACCTCACGATCTCTGGATAATTCGCTTCACACTTCTCAGCCAGAAAATGAAGAAGTGTCGTGCTGTGACTGATTGATTTTGTATCTCTTAGCTGAGAGAGAGAGAGAGAAAAAGAAAACAACACAGATTGAACCATCTTTCTTTGCACAAGTAATATTTTCCCCACTCCTTTCCTACATAATCCTTATTTTACACCAATCGTGCCATAGCTAACTGCTGTAATTCATGACGGCTACATGGTACATCCACATAATCATAACACACTCCTGAGAATAATATGGGAAGTGATGTAACTATAAGTACTGGAATAATATGATACAGTGTCTGCCAAGCACCTGTTTGTGATTCTTCACATAAGTACATCGACAATTTGTTCCATATTCATTTCATACTGTGATTGCAATGCTGTTTGAATGGCATGCTGGGAAAGCTAATTAGCACAACACACCTCTGTGCGCCTACCTTGGCATTATCTGCACTGTCTAACCTGCAGATGGACATGCCTACAGAAGTGTGCATGTAAATGTGTATGACAACTTGATAGATGCCACACAGGTATAAAATAATAAAACAAATTATGTACTCATTGTCAGAGGCAATATGGCAATGAAAATATGCACATACTATAAGGACATCATTATCTTTCACCTCTATATGCTAGTAAACATTTTTTTTTTCATGGATTTTGAATTTCAATTTGCGAATCATTAAAACACAACTCATTTCAGTGTGAAAAATCACCTCAGACACACTCATTTTCTCTGATAGCAGTGATACATTTTATTTTATTTTTTTGCATTTGTTTGCACACTAAAATAAATCAACAGTACCGTATAAAAGTGTATCAGCAGGTTGTAGCATATTGCCTAAAGCCTCACTGGCAAAATGTGCACATCCTTTATTATTGAATCTTTAACCCCAATTCAACTAGTGCCCATACAGAGTAGGAGGATGGGAACACTGGGGTTCCATTAGGAGCAGTGGGTGTAAATAGGGAGACCCTGCTGTTTCCAGTAACAGAGCTGCAAGAAAATCGCCAGATGAAACTGAAGACATATGTTCATTCTAAGGGGAATATTACTGACAAAATAAAAAGAAACACATCGAACCATTCCTAAAGTTTCACTGGTCTATGTAAACTTGTATTTTAAAAATAGCTTGAAGAACATTTTTGAAATACCCTACAAAGTAAAAAAAAAAAAAAAAAAGGTTAACAGGAAATTGATGTAAGCTAAACATCTGATTAAAAGTTTACACAATGTAAAACAAGGCATTCACTTGAACTTCTTGTGTTGTGGTTGGAGATGTTTTAGATGGCTGAAATCTGCTATGACTTGGGTCTCAGCATGACTAGCATGAACTAGTGTTGTAGTACTCGAGACCGGTCTTGTTCTCAAAACCACTTTTTGATGGTCTCGATCTCATCTTGGATTCAACTGCATTTGATCTCGGTCTTTTCTCGGTCTCGGAACATTGAGAACTTGGGATATTTCAAGAGCAGTCAAGTCTCCTATTCTCTTTATACCTGCTGCCGCTTGGTGCTATTATCCGGAAACACAACATGCCCTTCCACTTCTACGCCGATGACTGTCAAATTTACTTCCCCCTAAGACACAATGGCACATGCTCTATTCAACCTCTGCTCGACTGCCTGGCTGACATCAGGAACTGGATGGCTTTCAATGTCTTAAGTTTCAATGAAAAGAAGTTTGAAGTCATGTTGTTCCCTCCCAACGACACGATCACAAACCACTGTATCGACCTCTCCGCTCTATCCCTGTCAGAAAAACAAAGAGTCACTAATCTGGGAGTGATAACGGACCCTTCCCTGAAACTTAACAGTCACGTAAACATGATTGTTAAATCACGTTTCTGCCAACTGAGGCGGCTGTCTAAACTGAAGCCCATATTGTCCACAAATAACCTGGAGACAGTAATACATGCATTCATTACCTCTAGGCTTGATTACTGCAACTCACTCCTGTTTGGTATCGGTCAGACCTCCATTGCACGACTACAACTGGTCCAGAATGCAGCAGCCCAATTTTTACCAGTACAGGCAAAAGAGAGCACATTACACCATTTTTGGCCTCATTGCACTGGTTATGGGTTCACTTTCGAATCCAGTTCAAAATACTCCTGTAGCCCCCCCCCGCTCTGATCTACTACAACCGTAGTTCCCTGAAGTCAGCAGACCAGTTGCTCCTCACAGTTCCAGGAACTCGTCTTAAGTGCAGAGGGGACAGGGCCTTCGCTGTAGCACTCTGCTTGTCAGACAGGCCTCCCCCCTTTCGGTTTTCAAGTCCCGTTTAAAAACCCACTACTATTCGGTAGCTTTCAACATCAGATGATCTGTGTTTTGAACATGTATGCTCCACACTGGTTAGTCGTCATTATCTGCATCGTTTTTATGTCTATATTTATGATTTACTTCATTTTGTATTTTGCATTGTGTGTTACCTGTTGTTCTGTCTGTACAGCACTTTGGCTGGCCTTGTCACTGTTTTAAGTGCTCTATAAATAAAATGGTATGGTATGGTAAGACCACAGCTGTGGAAATATCACTAAATTGTCATAATATTGTCCAGTTTATTTGTTAACATCTTTGTTTTTATTGGATGCAAAACGTATTGATTCAAATCAAAGCGATAACGTGACTCATTGCTAAATACATGGTTTTTTTTTTACCTCGGTCACGCCCACCCCCTTTCAGTCGCACACGTCACTCCCAGTGTTGCCAGATTGGCTGGCTTATTGCCAATAGGGCAGTTATCATTCTGATTTTGCTGGGAAGATTTTTGTTGCATTGTTGCTTTTTGCCACATATTGTTAAATTACCTTGGCTTGTACTGATGTGTGTTCATGTTCATATGCTGTAATGTAACAACATATTGATTGGGCATATTTTTGTGTGATGTGGTCATTTTTAACATATTTTTTGGGCTGGAAAACTTTGACTCTATCTGGCAACACTGGTCACTCCACGAAAGTGAGAAGTAATTGTCTGGGTGCGGGAAAAGATGTTTGCCAAATCATCAGTTATAACATGTAGCTATTTAAATCATAAATAATATACTTGTAACCAATATCCATTTAAGTAACTTTTTAGGTGTATATTTAATACTTTATTGAAACCACTGTGCAACTATATGGTTATCGTTGGTCTTGGGTTTGGACTTATGAAGACTGTTTGACCACTTCAGTTTTTTGAAGGCTTTGTATGTGATGAAACTGCTTCCATTACAACATTTGTGTGATTTTATTGTTGAATCACATGAAGTTAGGCCACTGAATGACTGATTTCTTTATGTAGCTTTGGAAAATGTATAAAAGGTGATATATTCATTCAAAAGCAAACTTAAATTTGCAGTATGTAACTTTTATTAAAAATATATATATTTTATAATATATATTTTTAAATGTTATTTATTTTATCTGAGGTCTTGGTCTTGCCTTAGTCTCGGGTTAGATGTTCTTGACATGAACGTTTCTCCCTGGTTCTCAAAACTAGATAATTATGGATTCTTTTTACAGCAAGCAGGATGTTGCCTAGTTATAACCTCTCCAAAAAATATATAAATATACACACAAACAAACACTTTAAAATAAAATTAACTATGTGAATCAGTTTATTTTGGAAGTAAAACATTCCAATGTATGACAAACACAAAGCCCAAGGTAATTTTATTTTTGTCAGAATTACATGACATGGATTGATGTCACTAAACCTTACAAGCGTTGAACGGACTGTAGCATGTTGTATGAGGGTTACCTGAACACTTTAAAGTGGTTGACATATTTGCTAAAGTCATTAACCTTGTCAAATGTAGACTTTTTATTCTCCTATCCATTTCATAGTTTGTGTAAATTTAGAACTCCTGGCCCTTATCATGGAGTCATTATAAGCTCAAAGTACCCAAAAATAATTGTCCTAAATCTTTTTTTTATTTTTTATGCCTCCCTCTTTTTTATTCATATAAATGCAACATGACACACAAAAAAAGAACCGTTAACCTCATTATGTCTAACCATATTATATTTTACCAGGACAACTTAATATAGAGTGCATGAACTTTACATGATCAAACAAATATGTTCAAGCGAATGAGATGGAAATACAATGCCACATAAATATGGTGCTTCTTTTAACAAGTACATAAATTGTCAGAAATAAATGTTTAGAACATAAATTGCCCCAGTAGAAATTGCATAGCTCCCTCTCTAGATCATGCATGTTTATACAAGACAATTCAGAATGGGAAGCTGCACTGGAAGAAAACTAATGTATATCTAAATATCTAGAATACAAATATATATACTTTGTATATACATACATATATATA